ATACACAATTCAATAATAAGTGGAAATTTCCTTAACCAAGGATAGGCCAACTAGACTGAAAATCAGCAATGATATGCAAAACTTGAACACCACCATCAACCAAGTAGATCTCCTTGGCATCGACAGCACACTCCATGCAATGAAAACAGAACACACATCCTTGTCAAGCACACAGGTAACATTCTCCAGGACAGACCATGTGCTAAGCCATAAAACAAGTTTCAATAAATTTAAGATAATTGAAATCATACACCCCAGTGACATTAAGTAAGAAATCAACAGAAGGAAATTTGGTAAATTCACAAATATGTGAAAATTGAAGCACACTCCTTTTTTTTTTTTTTTAATGTTTATTTACTTTTGAGAGAGAGAGAAAGAGAATATGAGCCAGGGAGGGGCAGAGAGAAAGGGAGACAGAATCCGAAGCAAGCTCCAGGCTCTAAGCTGTCAGCACAGAGCCCAATGTGGGGCTCAAACCCACAAACCGCAAGATCATGACCTGAGCTGAAGTCAGATGCTTAACCGACTGAGCCACCCAGGCACCCCAAAGCACACACTCCTAAGCGTCTAGTGGGTCAAAGAAGAAATCATAAGAGAAAAATCTGGATGACTGGGCACAAAGCCATCTCTAGCCCAGGGCACTTGACCAGGTCCCAGTGACCTGTGGCAAGGAGCAAGAAAATCCTGACACTTCCCACTGATTTTAATCAAAACACTAAATTAAGTACATCAGGCCCACATGTGCTGGGAACAGATGATCATTAGGATGAAAGTCAAAAAGATTAGGCAGGACATATAACTAATACCCTACATTATCCAGGTCTCTATCCCTCAGAAGTTTCTTTTCTTCCAGTAATTACCAGGAAGATGTCAAAAGCCAGAACTCCTCATTTCACTTTTATGAGACCTCAAACATGCAGAAAAATACTGTAAGCTTATGAACCTTTTGGCAGTTACTCCCTACTTGAACTCAGACAAAACATGGCACAGAAGATTATGAGTCAGGCAAACAGACCTGGTTTAAAGTTCTGGGTCTGCCTCTCACCGTGTTATATTGGGCAAGTGACCTAACTTCTCTGAACGTCAGTTTTCTTCCCTGCAGAATGGAACTGCATCACCTACTTCACAGGGTTGCCACAATGTTTTATAGGAGGTCATGCACGGGAAAGCACTTAGGACAGCACGTGGCCCATAGTAAGCGGTCATTAACTTCATGTCCTTCTTTGTTATCAGTGGCTGTTATTACTAAAAAGTCAGCAGGGGGAGCTCCCCAGACTTCTGTGTTTTTCCCAAAAAATATACCTGGTAGAGCTGCAGTAGCTTTAAATTCACTTATATCTCTTTAAGTACAGGTTCAGAACTTGTGCTGCTAAAGAAGAGGCAAGACGTGGATAAATAGGTGACTGGAGGCCACTGGCAACCTACAGAATTGCGGGGAGGCACCAAGATAAAGAGGAAGAGATGAAAATTAACAATCAAAACACTTCTCTGTAGTAGCTTCTGTTTTTTATTATCACTCTCAGGCTCATGTGGGAGGAAGTAGGCAGAATGGATCTTAATTTTCTGCAAATCCATTTTTGTTGATGACTCTGAATGGCTTTGGCTACCATCCACTGGAGACTCATTTGTCACAACAGTACTGGTCACACCTCCTAAAACCAGAGGTGTGTATATGCTTCACCCCTGCAAAAAGGCATTCACCTTTCAAAGGGTCTGGCTTTATGTTTGGAGCTAAGAACCAAACAGCAAGATTCAGGGATGGTCAACCATCTAGCCTTTGAGCTACAGGAGCACAGGAGCCATGCCTATTATTCACTCTGGTAGCCTAGAACAGTGCCTGGTACATAGCTACAGAACAAATACCTGTTGAATATAATTGTGTTGAGACCATCACAACTGCAATCCAATCACACAAGTGAAAGGTGCCTCTCCAGGAAAACTAGGAGCGCTTACTGCTAAAAGCCCAAAAAAGTCATTACTTTAGGAGCTCTATTACATGATCGCAGTAAGTGTAATAAAAAGCAAAACATCTGTGTCCAGGAGGGCAAGAAGGCTTAGAGAAAAGGCTAGTACATAATGATTTTCTTCAGCAAGCACTGCTGGTTCATAAAAGGCTACGTCTAGAAATCACTTAAAACAGAGGAATTAAAGCAAGTAAGAAAAACCCTGAATAACTTCTTCTAGATTAAGGTCCTTGAAGAAGAACGCTATTTTGACGCTCTGTCCTTTAAAATAACTGTAGGGAAGCAGACTAGGAGACTCTGGAGTCCGGCTGCCTGGCTTTGTTCTGGCTCCCCAACTTCTAGCTGTATTACTCTGGGCAAGTTAGCCTTCTGGGCTTTAGTTTCGTCCACTGTTAATTAGGTAATAGCACCTATCTCAGGATTACTGATTTACTGGTAAAGCACTTAAAATACTCCCTACTATACAGAAAGTGCTCAATAAATGAGAGACTTTTGGGGGTTGTTGTTATTATCATTATTATTAAAATGTTCTCAAGAGAAGAATAAAATACAGCTGTCAACAGAATCTAGAGGGACATCCAAATTACAGGTACCCCCATTTCCTGAAAGTCTGTGTTACACTGCTTCATTTTTACAAAAGGCCTACAATCGTATTTGTTTTCACTAACTGAAGAAAATCCAAAGAGGATTCTGATTTTCACTTTAATGAAAAAAGGCAAAAAGTGAAAATAGCGTTCAGCGTTTGTTTTATAGAGAGCTATTGCAGAGGCAGCATGCACCCTGGGCATCAAGCTGCCATAGCTTTGAACTGTGTCTGTGAGCACATTTGTGCTTTATCTCTATTTTCTGCATCCATTAGCAAGATGTGTCTTAAAGTATGAGAAAAGCCTGAGAGAGGTTATTTTTGGGGTCTGGGTACACTAAAAAATTTTGCCATATAAATTAATGGTAATTGCTCCTTTGCTTTGCATCATTTTGGCTTGCGAAAGGCTTTATAGGAACACTCCGGGGTTTTTTGTTTTTTGTTTTTAAGTTTATTTATTTTGACAGAGAGAGTGCATGAGTGAGCACAAACAAGGGAGGGGCAGAGAGAGAGAGAGAGAGAGAGGGAGGAAGTGAGGGAGAGGGAGAGAGAAAGAGAGAGAGAGAGAGAGAGAGAGAGAGAGAGAGAATCCCAAGCAGGTTCCACATTCCACACTGAGCCCAATGTGGGACTCGATCTCACGGACCCAGAGATCATGCATGACCTGAGCCGAAATCAAGAGTCGGACGTGTAACCGACTGAGCCACCCGGGTTCCCCAGGAACACTCTACTTCTGAATAGCAGAGGAAACCTGTATCTACAAATGATGAGGCTTTTAAGAAAAGACCAATAGGTTCTCTGTAACATGTATCTTGAGAAAACAGAAGAAACTAGTTAATTGTGAATGGAAATCATCTGCTAACCTAACTCAAGTGAGATTCTTAAGAATCTAGATTTCCTTCCCCTTGAGATACTTGGCATCCTTTGTTAGAGAACTTTTCTCAGTAGATTTCATATCTCTAAACAACTGCCTGCTAGAACACAACCCCAATAGTCAAAAGTATTCATAAGTGAATGTGGGCCGTATGGGGATCAGACCTCTAGGCATAAAGTAGGGTAACAGGAAATGTAGGTAGAGTTCTTAAATCAAAAGAAGAAAAAAACATACAGCTGTTCCCACAAAAAGCTAAATGCCAAGGAAATAGATTTTCCAGCAGTAGAGGAGCAGGAGGTGCTGTGTGGGGTGGTGGAGGCAGATGTCTGGAACAAAGGGTGGAGAAGAGCTCTGTAGTATTGCCTGGCAGCAAGTGATTATCTGCCAGGGAGGAGCTTCTATGTGCCATTAGCCAAGCCACACAGAAACACCAAGCATGGAGAGGCATAGAGGCATGGGGTCTTTTACCAAATAGGGCCAGAGGTCCTAGGACGAGGTTGTCAGGAGACCATGCTATAGTCTGCTCCCCCGGCAAGGTGGGCCTACAAAGTCCTGGTGTCTAGCAGAGAAACCACTGAGGTTTCTGGGATTTCTAGGCCTTGACACTGGGGTCAAGGATAGTCCTGCCTAGGGGAGGCCAGATCCCATGGCCTTCCGGATATCACAGTAGCTTGGTTAGAAATCACATTCTCTTGGGCTGACAGTGCCACTGCCTCACGGAGATCCCTTCCTACCTTTAACCACCACAATGCACCAGGTTTTCCAAAACATAATGTCTTTATGAAATTTTTAATAGATGCTTATTAAAGACACACATAAATGTGGATTCATTTTTATACCTTTTATGCCTTTACATACATAAATACAGAGGTTGGCAGTGGAGGTGAGGGGGAAAGGGAGTAAAGTGCACGATGGGGAAATAACCTTTGTCAGGAAAAACCAGAATTCTGCTTTGTTTCCTTCTCTAGACACTGCCCAGAAGCAGGAGCATATACCATGTACAACAGCCTGGTCACATCATGTATCTTAGCCCATAAACATGGGTCACTAAGCTATTCAGTCACCATAAAACTGCCTCAGCTGGGCTTGTCCAGCCCATTTTCTGTTTCTGAGATTTCTGAGCCAGCTCTATGGGTCTCTTCTCGTCCTTCCCTGGAAGATTCCACAGTGCCTGGAAACTCCATCTACTGGCAGATGAGTGAAGGGTTGAAGAGGTGTGCATTAAGCTCCTAATTAAATCACAGGATCTGGTTCATGAGTATCTCACCAACCAAAACATGAACAAGACACCTTTATCATTCAATTAAAAGCATAGCCAGAATCTAATTGCTGGATTAAGAAATAAGTAGTTTAAACAATTTTTTGAAAAAAAAAATGAGGAAAGTGGGAATGGGCAAGATAAACAGCTTTATTCCATCCTAGTTTCCTGCATTGAAGTAAGGAACTGAGTATAAGACCTCAAAACAGTTTTCAGCCAGATGCCAAGAGGCCATCACATCCACATAAGTAAAGGAAGGGACAGCTTTATCTGGCTCCTCGCCCTTTCAGCTTTTCAAAATTCAAAGAAACACCTCCTTACCTGCCAGGACTCTGTTAACAGAAGAGTGAGTAGCCAAGCCAGGCTGTCCACGTTCGTGAAAAATCCCCGCGTAAGGCAAGTACTCAGGCAGCAAGAAACGCCTATAAGAAGGAACCACGTGTGAAAAGCCTATAAAAGACTACTACAACACAAAAATCCACCTACCCCCAAAAATCAAAGCTAAGGGATACACTAAACCTAGGAATCCACAGAAGCCCAACACGGGAGTAAAAATTGCTGGGATTTATCCTTCTGCAGATTTGTATCTCCTTCCTGATCTTTCTTCTGCAGTTTTGCGGGGCTTCTAATCTTGAATAGGATGCTCCCAGTGTCACTTGTCCATCTCTTTTCATTGCGGCCAATCATCTCCTGTCAAGTCATTAGGTGGCAGGGCTGGATTATAGGCTCACTAGGAAATAATTTCAGATATGGAATCCAAAGCTCAGAATGTAGGTTTAAAAATGAAACGAGGCTCTCATAAAGGCTCCCTCATAAAGGCTAACTACCAAGTTCTTACCTTGGGACAAAACGTCCAAGTGAAGGTGCAGACATCCGGGCATTGCGTGGAGCTCGGTGCCTGGATCTGTCACCATTGTCCCTGGAGAAAACAAAAAGACTACATATAAGAGAGTCATTAAAGCAGAACCAGATAATAGCCCAAAAGACAAACATCCCCTAAACTAAGTTCCTACACTTAGGTGAAGATCCCAGAGAAATGAGTCATCTGGTTACTTACTAATTTGGATGGAACATTAATACACTACAATTCTGAGGGAGCCTAGGTGGCTCAGTCATCTGAGCATCTGACTGCAGCTCAGGTCATGATCTCGTGGCTTGTGGGCTCAAGCCCCACATCAAGCTCTGTGCCAACAGCTCAGAGCCTGGAGACTGCTTCGGATTCTGTGTCTCCCTCTCTCTCTCTGCCCCTCCCCCATTTGCACGTGCGCTCACTAATCTCTCTCTCTTTCAAATAAACATACATTACAAAATTCTTTTTAATATATACATTTCTGGAGTACCCCAACCAGAAGATTTATAAACATTTTCTAACAGCTCAGTAAGAAGGAAGAAGATTTTTCACGAGTTAATGTGATCTCTGATCTGAAACTGAAACCAAAAGTCCTCTAAAGGGACCTGGAATGGAAATGTATAAACTTTTTCTAGATTGAAAGACAGAGAAATTTTGGCTTTGGGGGATCCTGAAGGAATCCTCCCATTGATTTCATTCAGCAAATGGTTATCTCTAAATGAATCTGTTTAGGCCTTTGGTGTGGAAAAATCACTCATGAAAAGTGAAAGAAAACACAACAAAAAGACTAAGCAGTCCCTTCTATTAGGGACTGCAAAATTGGCAATGATGAAGAGTATTAGACAATGTAATCCCAAGCATTTGAATAAAAAGAAAAAAAGTCTAGGTGTTTTTCTTTATGGTCTGTTAAAACAATAGTAATAACCACCATTTATTAAATATCTATTAAGTTCTAATATAAAGGTTATTAATACGTTTTCTATTTAATCCTTCTAACTACCCCATGAGATATTATTAGTAGCTTTGTTTTATAGATACGGAAATGAAGGAGCAGAGAGGCAAATGCCCAAGGTCACACAACGAGTAAGTGGCTGAGGCAGAATTCAAGGAGTATCTATCTGATTCTGAAGCCCTTGCTCTTTCCCCTATACTTTGCTGCCTCCTACAAGAAAAGGGAAGATAGGGACTTCACGTGGCTTAGTTTCCAATGCATCAAAGGAACAATAAGCCAAAGGGCACTGGCTGGACAGAGCAGTTAATTAGCTGCTTAACCAACTCCACAAAATAAATGAACCTCTGAAAGCTTGATCTGGTATTTTTTCTGAGTTCTCCCTTTGGATTATCTTCAACTTAATGAGATCACCTTCAAACTGGCCTTGGAACCAAAGTTAAGACAATACTCTGGCTTTCAAATGGGCCACTGGGAGCTTTACAAGTCAGAAATGAAAGCCTAGGAAGGTTTTTATATTTTGGTGGGTTTGGATGCTGAACATTAACAGAGAAATCAATATCAGGGATATTGGAAGCTGATCCATTAAAAGTCAGTACTCGGTCTTTATTTTCCCCAAAGAGAAGGCATACTGTTGTTTTCCTTAACATGTCATATCCCTTTGACTTGAAACTCTATAGATGAAGGGAGAGGCAAAGGGAGGGAGAGAGAGAAAAGACCATATGGAAAGTAAAAAGGTTATTAAAAACAACAATGAAATCAGGAGTTCCTGAACAGTAGATCACGGCTCTGGGAAGCCCACAAATTGTTATAAGATTTTGGCAGCCACATGTACACAAGGAATAAATGAATATCAAACAAATAAGTTAGTTCTCAAATTTAGCATATTATTGATTTTCAAATAAATCCAGCTTCAAGTTTTGATCAAAGTACCAATTCACTTAAAAATACAAATGAATTCATGATAGCTTTTCATAACAGCGTATTTTACTTCTCAAAGGGCACTAAAAGTCTAGCTAATTATCATGAGAAAAGTTAGCAAACATTTTGAAGTTAAAAAGGGCCCTAAGGAAAAGAAGGGTCCCAAGCCTCAAAAAGGTTAAAAACTAAGCTGTAGAAAGAAACATCATGGGATAACTGTGAGTACTTGTTCTGTAGCTAGGAGAGAGAGCTGGCCTTCCCAGAATCACACTGTGGAGCTGACAACTGGATTCTGTAAGGTCCCAAGATGCCTCTCCCTCCGGACGACAAACAATACTCTATCTGGTGAAGAGTAGGGAAGGAGAAGCCAGTGTGCTAGATCGTTCTACTGCTCAGCAGTTGCCAGTGCTCAAAGACGGCACAGAGCTTGGTGAAAGGACACCAGAAGACAGTTTAGAAAAATGAACAAACACACCAGGGCTGGGGAAATTTCCGGGCTCTTTCGACATAATTCACAAGCCTCTTTTCCAACACCTACAAACAACCAACTTTCTGATTCAGTTTCTCCTTCCATTTGAAAAAGCGGGGGGGGAGTGAGACACAAAACATGGCCAGAGATAATGGCTTTATAGTATTTAGAGATCACTGGAGGATATACAGGAAAATACGAATGAGATCAGCTGGCTCAGATACAAACAAAGTCTCAGACTGATGGTCACATTTGGCACCATAAAAATATCAGTATGTTGAGCAGAGATGCATCTGCTGGTCCTCAGCTTAACATCTTGACTAATGATAGAGAAGCAGGAGCTAAATGGCATCTCAATAAAATGTAGAGAAGACTTCAAATTAAAAGCACTGAGAATTCTAGCAAAGGGGAGGAGTAACATCATGGGACTCACAACGACTAGAAAACTGAAACGTGATGAACACACAGATGAGGTGCTACCTATGGGAGAAAACAGCAAAGGACATCTAGGAGAAAACAGCCTTCGCTAGGAGAAAAACAGCTTAAATACCGTTCTAAGAAAAACCCTGAAAACAGGAATGGGTAAGGTGGCAAAGACCAGAATGTTCAAGGGAGGCAAGAAGAGGGAAAAAGGCTCTGGACATTAGTACTGGCCACAGAAATCCCTAACTACATGCACAGCTCCAGTAAAATAGAGGTGAAGAGAGCAACTGATGACTCCGCATTCTGTAGTCTGGAAAGAAGGGAGGATTCAGAAATAAGGAGTTAGACTGAGGAAACAAATTTCAGCGCACAGCCTATCCCCAGTGGGGATGGGAAGCCAGCAGGGAAGGGGGAGAGTGGTAAGAGTTCCAGGAAAAGGGCAAAGGAGTTAAAAGTACTTAAAATAATGCTGTACTGAGAAAACCACACAGACTCTGCCACTCACATCAGTGCTGATACAGGATCAACATGAGGCAAGGCTGCACGAGCTGAAGGAGGCAAAACTAGTGAGGCAGAGACTGACGTGAGTGGACTGGAGGAGGTCTGCCAAATGAGCAGTAGGTAAAGGCAGACCCAGGGAGACGGTTTGCCTTAGGAATGGTGGACGGTGCTACGTACTGGGGCCTAACATAACACAGCCCGTGCCCTTCCATACTGAGACTTTAAAAAAAACAAACAAAAAAAAGCCATGAGGAAGAGTATGCAAATATGCTGATTCTGCTCCTCCCTCACAGGAGGACTATTTGTCACCAGAATGCTTTTCAGGGAAACACCAAGAGAAATCCTCATCAATTTCATCAGCCAGAAGGTGCCTTTAAGCCAGCAGGACAGAAGCTGGCAGAGTTATTAATGGCTTTCCCAGCTGCTGAACTCTGTACATCTCTGATTAACTCTCAGAGGGGTATTTGGGAAGGACAAGGGGTGGAGGGAATAAGACTTTCTTGTAAAAGATTTTATAAGGGAAAAAAAAAAACACCCTTCAAACAGTAAGGCATCCAAGACAAATGCCAAGTATAAGAAAATGCATCTCTGGAACAAGGGAGAGAAACACAGCAGCGACTCTTGCTAAATGCCTGGGATTAACTGCCTCAGAGAGAGGCTATAATTTAAAGGAATGAAAAATACACCTACAGACTGTCGGCTGAGTCCTGACCAGACAGTCAGCTTGTCATTCCTCCTCATGACAAATGGCTCTGACTCGGGCCTTTATAAATGAGGCTCTTGCAGCAAAAAGCTCAAAAGGCCATTGTCCTCTCGACAATACACAGTTGACTTTGCTGAAAATTAGACTATTAAAAAAATAAGTGTCTCCCTATGCTCTTCTGTTTTTATTCAATTTCCAGACAACAGAAGGCCTAGTTGGTATTCCTATCCTTGGATGGCACAAGTCCTTTCCTTACCCAGGTGCTCTTGGTAAGAAACCGAGGCCCCCATCTCTATGCCAAGGACTGTGCACACGTGTAAGGGTTTAGATTTCTGGGAGGAAGGCTCAGGCTCTGGGGGTATCATTCACAGGGGACAACTAAGAGCACGGCCCCCTTGGAACTGCAGAGCTTTAACTTTTCCCTAAGGAACAGTAATAGATAATTACCATTTACAAATTTCTCTCTTCCCTTATTCCACCTTTCATTTCATCTGCACATATTCCATATTCCTACTGTGCATTTTACATTAAAAAACAAATCTACAGGGGCACCTAATTGGGTCAGGTCATGATCTCTCAGTCCGTGAGTTGGAGCTCTGCCGCTCCCAGGTTGACACAGCTCAGAGCCTGGAGCCTGTGGCATTTCGATTCTGTGTCTCCCTCTCTGACCCTCCCCCGTTCATGCTCTGTCTCTCTCTGTCTCAAAATAAACAAACAAAAGGGGCTTGCGGTGGGGTCGGTTAAAGCACCGACTTCAGCCAGGTCATCTGCTGGTCCTGAGGAGTTCAAGCCTGCCAGGCTCTGTTGATGGCTCAGAGCTGCAGTCTGCCTTTCCTATTCCATAACTGTTCTCTTTCTCTGCCCCTCCCTGTCCAAAATAATATGTTTGTCTTCTGTCCCAAAAAAAAAAATAAATCATGGAAAAAAAAAAATTTAAAAAAATAAAATAAACAAACGTTAAAAAAAAAATTAAAAAAACAAAAAACAAAAAACCAATCTATATCTCTAAGTGGTTATGCCCTCCTTCCCCCCCCTCCCCTCCTGGCTGTTAAATCTTTCCTTCTGTGTTTTCCCCTTCTATACCCAAGTACAATCCACACATA